CCGTAAAAACCCACAAGAACCTACTCTACATTTCATCTCTAACGTATCCAATTGCGATCCTTTGGTACTCACCAAATGGAGACTCCGACAGTCCACCAAGGCAGTCAGGTGCTGCAGGTTGATTTCCGTGGAGTTCAGGACTTCCTGGACTCGATTAAGGTACTCCTGAAAGGAAAGGCATTAAGCAGAAGCTGGATGTAAACAATGGCTTTGCTTTCTGAGAATTGTGGAAAATAAACGCAAGTGGGATCATCAAAGAAGAAAAGAGGGAAGAAAGCCAAAGAACTCCATCATGTTTTACCTTAGAAGTGGGGTATTCCTTGATTGCAGACTTCATGAGATCTAGCACGTCATCCTGCATTTCAACCAGGGCTTTGTGGCTTCCTGATAGCTTCTGCTCAACACAAAGATCAAATCGCAATCTTTATGGAAAAGGAAAGCAGCCTTGCGAGCAGACACTGACTTTTGTTAACCATTAGCTTGAATCCTTGAACAGTAGCTATACTCGTCATTATCACAAACCCGCACAAAAGAGAGTGATATAGGAGTTAAGAGCGTCATGTCTCAGACTTAAGAGGAGAACCCCAAATTCAAATTCCCTCTTGGCCATGAACTTCCCTGGATGACTGTAGGGAAGTTAGTCTGAACGGCACTACTGCGATGATAATCGGAGAATTCTGTATGGAACTCTGCACTCCTTGACCCAAGTGTGAGTCAATGAGACCATGAAAAACAACAAACAACATCGTTTAATTTCAAATTGCTATATACATATTAGGCTTGTGCAATCTGGGCAAACCTTGATCGGTTTTGTGTCCTGTATTTTGGTGGGGGGCCCGATCCATTGTTAGGGAGCCTCCCAAAATCAGGAGGGCACATATCTGTTTTCACTCTGGGGTGTCAAGAGATCCATTTTCTATTGGCCCACTATGGAGGGGGGGGGGCTTCCCAAGCTCCCCCTCCCATCAATTTTAGTCATTTAAGCTGTTTCTACTCTAGAGGAGAGGCGATCGGCTGCAGGCAGGTGTGCACTTTCTGGGCCTGCATGCCACACATACACTCTTTCCAAGGCAAAGAGGCTGCTCACAAAAAGCAGGCAATGAGTTGAGATCGGCTCCTGCTTGCTTTTGTGACGAGATGATTTTCGTACTGGGAGAAGGCTTCCTGTTATGTGCTCCCAAAGGTAACGAAAGTAATGAAAGAGTGGATATGTTGGAGCTCAGCCTGCAATTGTGTTTCAGGATCAGGGTGCTTTGGATGTGGGGAGTGATGTCAATGAGTTTCAAGATGGCAATGGTTGGGTCAATGATACTGATGCAGAGAATGACCAGGAGATTTCTGTTCAAAGTGTAGTTTCCCATGAGAATGTCCCTGAAGGGCTACCAGAGAGTTCCCATGATTTGGGGTTTGAAAACAGCTCGACACCTGGCCCAGCTGCAGAAATTAATGAGAAAATAGATAGACGGGAGGAGATTAGTTAAAACAGAAAAGCCGAACAGTGGCTTCGGTGTTCTGCCAGGCTCAGAGAGAAAAAGACAAGGGAATGACCTTGTGTTAACCTATAAAGCCCTAAACGACTCTGGCCCAGTTTACCTGTCCGAACGTATTCTCCCCTATGAACCATCAAGGTTGTTAAGATCTTCTGGAGGGGCCCTGCTCTCGCTCCCATCGCCTTCGCAATCTGGTGGGGACGAGGGACAGGGCCTTCTCGGTGGTGGCCCCTCGGCTCTGGAACTCTCTCCCACTGGAGATCAGAACTGCCCCCTCCATTCTGTCGTTCGAAAACGGGTGAAAACCTGGCTATGGGGTTTGGCTTTCGACGAGTGAATCAATATTTCTGTGATCGGATAGATGACGATGAATGATGGACAACGAATTCACTATGACGACTGACCATTGTTATTATGTGATTGCATTTTGCTGTTATAACGTTTTAATTGAATATGTTATATGATGTTTTTAATGATTGTTTTGTGATTTTATTGTTGGAAACCGGCCCGAGTCCCCCGATAGAGGGGAGAAGACCAGTATACAAAATTGCCAAATAAATAAATAAATAAATAAATAAATAAAATCTCAGCTAAAGCGAAACCAATTTCCAAGTGCTTGGGATAGCTTAACAAGGGGATAAAAGTTCCAAGTACAGGAAATGTAGTCAGACGAAGCATCGTTTGGAATCAAGTCAAGATCTTGTCCTTGTTTCATGGAAGCCTTGCTTGGAAAATTCATGTTTAAGTGCCCTTTATTTTATATTCATGCCTTGGATTCCTGTTTCCTGTTTTTTTGGATTTTATTAGAGAAGTTTTACCTTTGTTTCGTGGACTTTGCTGGACTCTTACCCTGGACTACTTTGTTCCTGCTTATCTTCTTACCTAATTGGATTTACCTATTTCTTTAAAGTGTTTTTTACTTTACTACTTTTTAATTATCTTCAATAAAAAGATTTATTGTCGAAGGCTTTCATGGCTGGAATCACTAGGTTCTTGTGGGTTTTTTCGGGCTATAGGGCCATGTTCTAGAGGCATTTCTCCTGACGTTTCGCCTGCATCTATGGCAAGCATCCTCAGAGGTAATGAGGTCTGTTGGAATTAGGACAATGGGTTTATATATCTGTGGAATGGCTGGGGTGGGGCAAAGAGCTCTTCCCTGCTGGAGCTAGGTGTGAATGTTTCAACTGACCACCTTCATTAGCATTTGAAGGCCTGGCTGAGCCTGGGAAAATCTTTTGTTGAGAGGTGTTAAGATGTGCCTGGTTGTTTCCTCTCTGCTGTTCTGCTGTTGTAATTTTAGAGTTTTTTAATACTGGTAGCCAGATTTATAAGAGGATTGCTTTTCCTATCCAACGGTGTGGTGTTTAAAGTCAGAGGGTTTTTCCTGTCCTGGAGTACAACAGTATGTAACAAAGGAAAGCAGATCCGCACACAACTCTAATGCACATACCCATTACAAACACTGGAAAGGAACAGCAGAATTAGTTTCTCGGTGCTCCGTGTGCTTGCAAACAAAACAAGGACTGGTAGCAAGCCATAAAGATAGCAAAATTTTTAAACAAATGTTTTGTGATCCGAGGGCTACACTATGATTGCTAGCTAGGAGAGTTTCTGTCTTTTCTGCTTAGCTGAATGAAAAGGCACTTGAAGGAGAAGACTGTATAGGGATCTACAGTGTTGACAGTGACTTGTGTTTGAGGACACTACTCAGCTGTGCATTCATTTTTGCCTTCACCATAAGTACCAATCTACCTTTGTGGAGAGCCTTCTCTTCCAGAGAACACTAAATCATAACACTTGTTGTTCATTCGTTCAGTCGTCTCCGACTCTTCGTGACCTCATGGACCAGCCCACGCCAGAGCTCCCTGTCGGCCGTCACCACCCCCAGCACCTTCAAGGTCAGTCCGGTCACTTCAAGGAAGCCATCCATCCATCTTGCCAAATCATAACATCTTGACAAATCATAACACTACGTTACAAGATTCTTGTTCTTGGATCCTAAATGTCATTTCCTCATTGGTTCTATCATTTTAAAAATGGGAAAACGTTATTAAACTGCAAAAATGTTGTTTCTGCGGGAGGGACATCAGTTTGCTGTAGTTAGTTTTTCAATCAATATCTCTCAAATCAATTTAACATAGGGTTGTTGTAGGTTTTTTCAGGCTATATGGCTATATTCTAGAGGCATTCTCTCCTGACGTTTCGCCTGCATCTATGGCAAGCATCCTGAGAGGTAGTGAGGGCTGTTGGAACTAGGAAAAAGAGTTTATACATCTGTGGAATGACCAGGGTGGGACAAAGGACTCTTGTCTGCTGGAGCTAGGTGTGAATGTTTCAACTGACCACCTTCATTAGCATTTGATAGCCTGGCAGTGCCTGGAGCAATCTTTTGTTGAGAGGTGATTAGATGTCCCTGATTGTTCTCATAGGGGATTGGTTCCGATTTCATGCCAAAGCATGTGAATGGACATTCAAGGGTTTGTCCTCAGGCTTGTGTATTGTTGTCTTCTCCCTTTGCAAACAGCAATGCCTTTTCTTCTTGGGTTGTTGTAGGTTTTTTCGGGCTATATGGCCATGTTCTAGAGGCATTCTCTCCTGACGTTTCGCCTGCATCTGTGGCAAGAATCCTCAGAGGTAGTGAGGTCTGTTGGAACTAGGAAAAAGAGTTTATATACCTGTGGAATGACCAGGGTGGGACAAAGGACTCTTGTCTGCTGGAGCTAGGTGTGAATGTTCCAACCGACCACCTTGATTTATATGACTGTATTTTGCTATTTTGATGTTTAAATGTTTTAGTGTGATTTAGAATTTGATGTTTTTAATGACTGTCTGTAATATCGATGTTGGAAACCGGCCTGAGTCCCTCGATAGAGGTGAGAAGACCGGTATACAAAACTGTCAAATAAATAAATAAATAAATAAATAAATTGATGGCCTGGCAGTGCCTGGGGCAATCTTTTGTTGAGATGTGATTAGATGCCCTTGTTTGTTTCCTCTCTGTTGTTCTGCTGTTGTAATTTTAGAGTTTTTTAATACTGGTACCCAAATTTTGTTCATTTTCATGGTTTCCTCCTTTCTGTTGAAATTGTCCACATGCTTGTGGATTCAACATAGTTTGTGGTAGCCACAAAAACAACGTTTTTGGAGTAGAACTTTCAAAGTAAGTACTGCACAAATAAACAGGAAATAACGTTTTCAAAACAGGGGAAAAAATCAAATTTTGTTGCATAGTGAGTCAGACACAGTGCAGTGGAACAGCAATTCCTATTCTATCCGTTGTTCATTATCTCACATCTCTCTGGACTCTTTTTGAAATCAGTCCTCCAACGCTAGGAGAGACTAACCTTCTGACTTCCTGTTATGACTGCCAGGCATGTCAAAGCACAGCTTAGAGAAAGAACTGTGTGGGTTGAAAGAACTCACCTGCTGAAAGGGATTTGGGTAGCCAGTACTGCACGCAAGGTAATAGTTCAGGGTATCTGTCGAAAAGAAGACAAAAAGGAAAGGAAGACAATCAAGGATCCACGTCTGCCTCTGGATACACCTCGTTATTCCTCTCTAATGACCAAAAATATTGTTCTGACAAATCTGCAAAAGAGGATTGATCTAGAAAAACTTCCCAACATAAAATGAGTTGTTAAGGTTGCCTTCACACACAACGTCACCCTTACAAAAGTCATGAAATGCATCAGATTAAAAATACCTAACTCCCTTTCAAAACTATCCACCTGTAACATATTTATCCTGCGACTATTTTGGAGGAGTCAGTCTAAATTATCACATGTAAGAGGTGACACCCATCTCTTGGCTACCTTTTGTCACCCATGAAGCCACCTCTGTCTGATGACAATATATTGGGGGTAGATTTGTGTGTGAAAAAGATCTTGGAGTCCTCGTGGACAACAAGTTAAACATGAGCCAACAATGTGATGTGGCGGCAAAAAAAGCCAATGGGATTTTGGCCTGCATCAATAGGAGCCTAGTGTCTAGATCTAGGGAAGTCATGCTACCCCTCTATTCTGCTCTGGTTAGACCACACCTGGAATACTGTGTCCAATTCTGGGCACCACAATTGAAGAGAGATATTGACAAGCTGGAATGTGTCCAGAGGAGGACGACTAAAATGATCAAGGGTCTGGAGAACAAGACCTATGAGGAGCGGTTTAAGGAGCTGGGCATGTTTAGCCTGAAGAAAAGAAGGCTGAGAGGAGACATGATAGCCATGTATAAATATGTGAGAGGAAGTCACAGGGAGGAGGGAGCAAGCTTGTTTTCTGCTTCCCTGGAGACTAGGACGCGGAACAATGGCTTCAAACTACAAGAGAGGAGACTGTGAGAGCTGTTCAGCAGTGGAACTCTCTGCCCGGAGTGTGGTGGGGGCTCCTTCTTTGGAAGCTTTTAAACAGAGGCTGGATGGCCATCTGTCAGGGGTGATTTGAATGCAATATTCCTGCTTCTTGGCAGGGGGTTGGACTGGATGGCCCATGAGGTCTCTTCCAACTCTTTGATTCTATGATTCTATGATTTCCAAGGCATGTATGTTTGTGTTCAGGTACCTAATTCAGGCCTATTATTTTGAAAATGGTGCTCATTTAACTTCACACGCACAAGAAAAGCACACATCTGCATTTTAGATGGATTAGGGATCAGCTGGTTTTCCCTGTAATCGGCAGTAAGAGCGCCTAATGCTTCGGAGAGCTTCTGTTCAACCATTTCAAAGCTCCTTGTTTGAGAGGTGATGGCATGATTGTCAGCATAGATGAAACTCTCTATTCCTTCTGACAGTGTAAATGTTAAACATTGATGGAGCAGGCATGTTCCCCGAGGCAGGCTGTTCTTCTGTTTTCACCATCTGTTTCTCTGACCCTAGAACTCAACAAAAAAGGTCCTGTTTTGTAGCAGACTGCAAAGGAAGGCATCCCACTGGAGAATTGCAGCATACCCAAATATCTGGGAGTCACTCTTGACCGTGACCTGACTTACAAAAAGCACTGCTTGAATATCAAGCAAAATGTGGGTGCGAGAAATAATATCATGCAAAAGCAGACTGGCACAACCTGAGGATCACAACCAGACACAGCGAAGACATCTGCCCTTGCGCTTTGCTACTCTGCTGCTGAATACGCATGCCCTGTGTGGAAGACATCTCTCCACATTAAAGCAGTGGATGTGGCTCTTAATGAGATATATCACAGGATGTCTATGCCCTACACTGCTAAAGAAATTATTCTGTTTAATTGGTATTGCACCACCTTACATCCGTTGAGAAGTAGCAGCCAATAATGAAAGGACCAAGGCATTGCCATCTCCGACCCAGCCTCTCTTCAGATATCAGCGAGCATGCCAATGCCTTAAATAAATAAATAGTTTCCTAAGATCCACAGATCCACAATGCCTTAAATCAAGAAATAGTTTCCTAAGATCCACAGAGATCCACAGAGATACTCGCAGGAACATCTTAGCAAGCAAGAGTCCAAAAGTGGCAGGCTAAAACCCAGAATCTCAATCCATGGCTGATACCAGATCAGAAATTCCCTCCTGGGCACACAGAAGACTGGGCGACTTGGAAGGCACTGAACGGACTGTACTCTGGCACCACGTGATGTTAGAGATAACCTTCAGAAATGGGGCTACCAAGTGGAGTCCATAACATGTGGGTGTGAAAAAAAACCGCAGACCACTTACTACAATGCAGCCTGAGCCCTGCCACATGCACAATGGGAGGACCTTCTCACAGTGACAACAGAGGCACTCCAAGTTGACAGTTTCCAGACAAAGGAAATCTAATATAATGCCATTTTTTTAACTTTACTTGTGTTTTTAAATACATTATAACTGTATCCTCAATTAGCTTCTGACATGATAAATAAATACATACATGCACAAGAAGGCTTCTACAATATGAATCCACAAGGCTGCATGCAGGGGGCACCACTGAAATGTTTTCATTGTTTACCAATAGAGAAAAGAGATTCTTGCCAAGTGTCAGACCTTAGATTCAAACCATAAATTCAGTTTCTTATAGGAGATCTGCTCTCTGACCTGGATTCCTTAGTGTTACTTAGACCCCATCAACACTGCCATATAAAATCCAGATTATCTGCTTTGAACTGGATTACATGGCAGTGTACACTCATATAATCCAGATCAAAGCAGATAATGTGGGGCAAGTGAGGGATACAAAAAGGAAAACCACTGAGCAGAGCTGGACATATTTTCTCCTCCTGACACTGCACCCACCATTAATATTGTATATACTTTCTCTTACGTGTATGGAAAAACCGGCTTGGCCCTGCATGCTAGCAAGTGAACCCAACAGCCGTTATTTATAATTCATTAGCCCACTTCTGGACAGCTTTCGGCTATGCTTTCCATTTAATTTTTCTATTTGGAGTAGCTTGCATCTGCAGCTGAACCATTAAACAGCATTAAAAAAAAGGGGGGGGGGATTATCAGCATACTTTCCACATTGGCAAAAGGATTATGCCATTAATGTACCCCTCCTCGCTCAGATTTGACATAGAGAAAGTACTCCTCCTCTCCTCCTCTCTTGGCAGAGTGCACACCTTCCTCTCCTCTTTTCTCACACAGCGTGCACCTTCTCCTCCTCCTCTCTAGGCACACCTTCCTCTCCTCTTTTCTCACGCAGCACGTGCCTTCCTCTTGTCCTCTCTCAGCTAGGTGCGCACCTTCCCCATCTCCTCTATTGGTGCAGCATACACCTTCCTCTCCTCTTTTTTCATGCAGCATGCACATTCCCTCTCCTCGTTTGCGCAGCACATGCCTTCCTCTTCTCTTTTCTCACGCAGCATGTGCCTTCCTCTTCTCCCCTCGGCTCGGTGTGCACCTTCCCCTTCTCCTCTCTCGGTGCAGTGCACATCTTCCTCTCCTCTCTCGTTGCAGCACGTGCCTTCCTCTCCTCCTCTCTCGGCAGAGTGCACACCTTCCTCTCCTCTTTTCTCACGCAGCATGCACCTTCTCCTCCTCCTCTCTAGGCACACCTTCCTCTCCTCTTTTCTCACGCAGCACGTGCCTTCCTCTTGTCCTCTCTCAGCTAGTGGTGCGCACCTTCCCCATCTCCTCTATTGGTGCAGCATACACCTTCCTCTCCTCTTTTTTCATGCAGCATGCACATTCCCTCTCCTCGTTTGCGCAGCACATGCCTTCCTCTTCTCTTTTCTCACACAGCATGTGCCTTCCTCTTCTCCCCTCAGCTCAGTGTGCACCTTCCCCTTCTCCTCTTTTGGCACGGCGCGCAGCTTCCTCGCCTCTTTTTTCATGCAGCGTGCGCAATCCCTCTCCTCCTTGTTTGCGCAGCACCCACCTTCCTCTCCTTTTTTCTCACGCAGCATGTGCCTTCCTCTTCTCCCCTCTCGGCTCAGTGTGCACCTTCCCCTTCTCTCTCGGCGCAGTGCACACCTTCCTCCCCTCCTCTCGTTGCAGCACGTGCCTTCCTCTCCTCCTCTCTTGGCACAATGCGTGCACCTTCCTCTCCTCCTCTAGCACCTTCCTCTCCTCTTTTCTCACACAGCATGCACCTTCGCCATCCCCTCTCTCAGCGCAGCGCACACCTTCCTCTCCTCCTCTTTCGGTGCAGCATATGCCTTCCTCTCCTCCTCTCTCGCCAGAGTGCGCACCTTCCTCTCCTCTTTTCTAACGCAGCGTGTGCCCTCCTTTCCTCCTCTCTCGGTGCAGCATGTGCCTTCGTCTTCTCCTCTCTCAGCTCAGTGTGCATCTTCCTCATCTCCTCTCTCGGCGCATCTCACACCTTCCTCTTCTCCTCTCTTGGCACAGCATGTGCCTTCCTTTCCGCCTCTTTCGGCACAATGATTGCCTCCCTCTTCTCCTATATCAGCACAGTGTGCACCTTCCTCTCCTCTTTTCTCACGTAGCATGTGCCTTCCCCTCCTTCTCTCTCAGCACAGTCCACGCCTTCTTCTCCTCCTCTCTCAATGCCAGTCTTTCCCACCTTTCCTTACATACAGCATTTTCTCCAAAATGTACAGTTAAAATAAACTATGGTGATTATTGGAAGGATACGTAAGAACATTTATAATGATGAAGTTCGGAATAATTATTTAATTGGAGTTGGATAGTCTTATTTTACATTACAATTTTATGTAAATATTCAAAAACATTTAACCTACTGAAGCCTCAATTAATGTAATTTTATTGGTATTGCCTTTTATTTTGAAATTGACCAGTAGTTGCTGCATTTCCCTCTTTCGGCTTATACTTGAGTCAATCCGTTTTCCCAGTTTTTTGTGCTAAAATTAGGCTCCCTGGCTTACATTCAGGTTGGCTTGTACTCGAGTATATACGGTATGTGACACAATCCGGTTGTGGCGCAGCTGGTTGGGAGCCTGCTGCATTAAAATCACTACTGATCGAAAAGTCATGAGTTTGAAGCCAGCCTGGGTCAGAGTAAGCTCCTGACCATTTGTCTAGCTTGCTGTTGACCTTTGCAGCCCAAAAGACA